AAAAAAAGTCTTAAAGGTTACCTGGGCCACCAAGCTGAGGGCTTGAGGACTTAGGATGTCTGCTTCTGATACCCCCAAAACCATAAACCCCTAAACCGTAAACACCACGTTGCAAGATAAGGCTCGCACCTGCAAGGGATCCCTTGCTGCTGCGGGGTGGAGATGGCAGCCTGCTCTGCGTAAGCCCAGGGCACACAGGGAGAGGTTGCAGGAGGGTTTTCCTGGGCTCAGGCCGTGACCTCTACATCGTAAAGTTTCTAGGGCTCTGGGCGCGAAATCAGATCATTTCATGTTGAAGGGTTTCGGCTTATTGCTGGGAGGGGGGGAGGGCTACACATTCGGCTCCCTTCTGAGTATCTTGTTTATCATGGTGGGGCTCTATTCCACAGGCTGCGTAGGCTGCGTAGTACGAATTCGCAGGTGAGGCTCAGTTGAGGGTGGTCTTAAGTAGACCTAGGAGACCGAAATTCTCCCAACTCAGAGAAGGGCAACTAGCAATTGCGCCCCCTCCAAACCCTAAACCCTAATGCACAAAAGTCACCCCACCTCTCCCTCTTATACTGCGCACCCCCCTCAGCCCCACGAGCAAGAACCCTGAACACCAAGTCCCTCAACCCCAAAGACAAAAAGCTGCTTTAAGGAATGCATTGTGGGATTTAGGGTTGAGGGTGTAGCTAGAGTACCCCATCCAAGGTCATCCCCTGGCAACCCTACATGGCTACGCAGATCACATGCCCATTCGAAGACTCTATCCCAAACTCTAAACCCTAAACCCTAAACCCTAGACCCTAAACCTTAAACCCACCTATATCACCTAACTCCCACCTATCCCGTATCCTGTATCTCCCAAAACCCCTTACAACCTGAAGCCCTAAACCCCTTGTAGCAGGGAACTCCCAGAAAAAAGACAAGCCCCAAACGAGCTGGAGCCTTAAGGCAGCCCGGCATACCGGGCACTACCTCAGCGACTTCGAGGGGTACCAGGCTTCGACAAAAATGGCTGGACAGGTTGAGGGAGCCAAACTTTGTGGCTTAGGGCTTGGGGTTTAGGGTGTAGACGTTCAGGAAGAGAAGAGTTTATTATGGGAAGTGTATAGGGCTTATCGGGTTTGTGGGATGGTGTCGAGGTTGCGGCTGGGGTTGAGAAGTTTTCGAGCGGTTGCTGGGCCTTGTGTTGTTTTTTGTGTCTTGCTCTAGCATGCCCTTGAAAACCCTCGGAAACATATTCCTAAGTATGATGCTCTGGGACCCACAGAAGGAAAATACAAAAAGATCCCAAGGGCCTACCTAGTTAATTTTGTGGGGCTTCCGGGACCCCTCTGCTCGCGCTGACAAGGGAAGACTCAAAAATCTCCAACACCCTACCTTAACAGGGCTGTTTCAACAATACAAATATCGCAAACCGCAACGCACCGCATACCGAACCGGTAGTATCGCACACACGCCGCGCCGTACCGCGGCATCGCTGCGCACGCCCCCACCCCCACCCCCCCCCTCCCCCTCCCCCCCAAACCTCCCACCACTCCCGCCCCCTCCCACCTACCCCCACCGACCCCCCCCCCACGCCCCCCTCCAAACTCCCGCCCAACCCCTCCCACCTAACTTCCCACTACCCCCCAACCCCCCACAACCCCCTCCTACCCCCCCTACCCCCCCCCCATCCTCCCACCTAACCTCCCACCTACCCCCCTCAACCCTCCCACCAAGCAACACACTCCCGCCTACCCCCCCACCTACCCCCCTCTCCCTCCCACCTAATCCCCTCCAACCCCCTCACCTACTACCCCCCCTCCCCACCCCACCCCCCCACCAACTGACCCCTCCCACATCCACTCCCACCTAACCCCCTCCCACCTACCAACTCCCACCTAACCCCCTCCCACTAACCCCCCCCCCACCAACTCCCATCGCTTGCGCACACCCCCCCAACCTGACCCCCGTCCATCCAACTCCCACCTCGCCTCGGCCCCTCCTACCCCCCTCCCATGGGCTTTGGACCCTAATTAAGTTAATTAGGTACACCCTATTTCGCGTAGGGCTTGAGTTTAGGGTAAAAAACCTATGTTCTGCTGGGTTGCAATCACGAAACCCCTTACAGGAGTGCTCTGTAACATGCTCAAAGGCTAGGTTTGGGGTACGAGCCCCAAGCTGCACTCCAAGCCTCCACCCCAGTTCTTCTGCTCTTTGGCACCGAACTCTCTTTAGGAACAACAGGCCTTAGTGCTTAGGGGGTAAGATTCGGTACCCCAGAAATACGGAAGGACACCCTACTCTCTTAACCCTACTCTGTTTACCCTCAACCGCCCACTGCTTGCGGTGAAGCGGCCCCCGCGGCTACGGGGATTTCATACCTGCGAACAGGACCGCCTGGCCTCGGGCAGGTTACGGGAACCACGGCTGCGAAATATGCATTTTCGGCAAGAAAGCCCAGCACATACATTTTTTGCGTTAGAATTACAGCACCCGTGTCTATACTCCTTTTAGAACCTTATCAGAATATATTGGTTCCAAAGTTCTTTTGGGTTTCATGTAATCAAGAATAGAACATACTTCCTCACGATACTTAGAGGGGCCTTAGGACAGACCACACCCCCCGCCCACACACCCCGATCACCCCTTCTCGGCCCACCTGACCATGGGCTCCTCATCGATGAAGACGCCCACCGCCCTGATCGCGTCTTCAGTTCGGGTGCAGAACGCCTGCCAGCAGACACTGCCAGGCTTCGAGCCACGGAAAGCAAACCCAAAAACTTGTAGAAATCTTCAAAAAACCCGAGAGTGCGACCCTCAATCTTGAAAAAACTGGCGAACAAAGCTTTGGGAGTCGCACTCAGCGTGTGACCATCAAGCTGCCAAGATCCGAATCGCAACGAGCCAATTCCAGTTTAGGGTTTAGGGTTTAGGGTTTAGGGTTTAGGGTTTAGGGTTTAGGGTTTAGGGTTTAGGGTTTAGGGTTTAGGGTTTAGGGTTTAGGGTTTAGGGTTCCACCCCCCAGCAACAGTGGCTGCGAACGTGGTCGGATGTTGCCAGCAACCCGATATGGGGGTCTCCGTACATGGGGGGTAGCCATTCTATTCTACTCGGGGTATAAAAAGGGGGTACCCCTATGTTCGTATCAACCATATGGGGGCCCTAAACCCCAAACCCTAAACCCTAAGCCCTAAACCCTAAACCCTAAACCCCCTTCTGTGCGGAGGGCACTGTCAGCAGCACAGCCCCTCCTCGTACTTCCAGGTGCCGTCGTCAAAGGCGGCGGACTCCCGCTGGGACAGGGTGCGGACCTAAGCCCAACTCCAGCTTCCAAGGGTTTAGGGTTTAGGGTTTAGGGTTTAGGGTTTAGGGTTTAGGGTTTAGGGTTTAGGGTTTAGGGTTTAGGGTTTAGGGTTTAGGGTTTAGGGTTTAGGGTTTAGGGTTTAGGGTTTAGGGTTTAGGGTTTAGGGTTTAGGGTTTATTAGGGTTCAGGGTTTCCCAACTCCAGCTTCCTATAGGGGAGCTGCAGGGTGACCTTTCTGGATTCTTTCTGCTAGGTCCATTCCATAACGCTCTGAAGACGGTGTCCAGTCTCACCCCGGAGCGTTAAAATCTCCAAAGCTGCAGCTTCTTTAGGGTTTAGGGCTGGGGGTCGGAATACTTACCTCATAGTATTCCCTTAGGGTCCCTGTGTCAGTATGCTATAATGACCACAAAAAACCCTATTCTTAGAATTGAGGCCACTGTATGACTCAGCAGGCGCCTCACAAGAATATCTCGGTGCCACACCGTCACAGGCCGCATCAAGCGAGCTGACTCCTTAACGCAGCTCGCACACACACACACACAAAACAGGGAAGATCCAGTATTAGTATCTGTTTTTATTGTGGTTGTGATAATTTCTTATGGTTATGAATGATATGACCTTTCTTTATGATGACTCAAGAGGCGCGGGCCTGCGAGCCCAGAGCTGGGAGTGGAGAAGCAGAGGCTGATGCCTCATTCGCCAAAGCCCTGAGAGCTTCGGTCTCTAGCTCACAGCCTCCGTACGATTGCGCATTTCGAGGTGCTGCATGATGCTCATGTCTTGCGCTCTGCCTTCTTGGTACCGACTCTGATTGCTTGCAAGCACCTTTAGGACCCTAAACCCTAAACCCTAAACCTTAAACCCTAAACCCTAAACCCCTAAACCCCTAAACCCCTAAACCCCTAAACCCTAAACCCTCTGTAGGTGTTGCGCAGATGTGCATCATGGGCACCTACGGGTGGCAGACAAGATGAGCCAAGAAGTGCCAGCCACAAGAGGTCATGCGAGCTCCACGCCTGTCGCATGCTGCGCTGGGCAAAGGAAACTTCTCTAGTATAGGGGCCTCAATGATTAGAACAGGGCTTTGGGGTTTCTATAGCATATATATATATATATATGTATGTATATGAAGGGACCGATCAGGGAATAATATTCGATGGCAAGGACTCTTCACAACGATTCGCAGCAGATTGTTTTAACACCGATCAGCATCCACTTCATCAGCACGCGTGTCTCTGGTGTACGCTCGCCTGTGAATGACATCAGGCGGTTACTTCAGAATCATGGTTTGGATTAGAGGCCCCATCGAAGATTTCAAAAAGCCTATACTAGATACCTGCAGCATCGGTTTTGCAAAATTTGGTGTAAGCCCAAGTTGATGGCATGTGTAAGCCCCATAAACCCTAAGCCCTAAACCCTAAGCCCTAAGCCCTAGAACCCTAAACCCTAAACCCAAAACCCTAAACTCTAAGTCCTAAACCCTAAAGCCCTGATGGCTAAGTCTTTTGAGCTCCTAAGGCAAGGAGAGCCGCTCATTGGCCATCTCACCCCTCCCGGCGTGCCACGATGTTGCAGACCTGCAATGGTCTCTCTGCATAACCGACACCACGCCTCTCCACTCTGGATCCTAAACCCCAAACCGCCCAAACCCTACACCCTAAACCCTAAGCCCATTTGTGATGAAACAACCACCCCCCCCCCCCCCCCCCCCCCCCCCTGTGGCCTATCGCCGGCGGCGTGACCTTGACCTTGACCGTGACCTTGGCATGGGTACACGGGGGTTCCGAAAATACGGGTACCCTGTTGAGGGGTTCCTAGAATCGGATTGTGGTAATTGAGGGTAGATTGAGGGCGTACTATGTTAAACAAGCCTTGTTGCTTAACAATGAGCCGTAACCCTCTTGAGGCGGCGAGGGCGAGCGCGCGTACCGAAGATTGACCTCGTGACTGCGTCAAGAGTTCAAAATCATGTACCAGTTCATCTTAGTTATATCGTTCTAAACCCTAAACCCTCAAACCCTAAAGCCTAAGCTCTAAACCCTAAACCCAAAGCCCTAAACCCTAACCTTAAACAACCCAGAGCCCCAGCCCCTAAAGAACACCACGGCTTCCTCAGAGCCTGATGCCTTTTTTCCCAGAATAGCCTTTCGCACCCTATCACCCCTTCTTTACCCCTATTTGGAGCCCACTCTTAGGGTTTTTGGTTTAGGGTTTCGGGTTTGGAGTCCCCCTAAGGGTCTAGGGTTTAGGGTTTAGGGTTTAAGGTCTAGGGTTTAGGGTTTAGGGCCCTACAGCACCTCTTAAAAGAACCCAACTTCCCAACCTGGAGCAACGCCGAGGAGCCGAGACTTGGAGCTGTACCGAGCCTCTGTGTTTTCGCTTAGGGTTTAGGGTTTAGGGTTTAGGGTTTAGGGTTTAGGGTGCTCCAGGGTCCTCATCCCTCCGTATAAGGTACCCTGAAGTAGGGGGAATATATGGGATGATGCAGAGGGGCACCAGATTCTAGGAACTTTTTCCGTAGGGCCTTGGGGATTTCGGGGCTTGTCCCTTCAGCGGCCCGGCTTGAAGCAGGCTTCTACTTGGCTGGGATGTGAAGGGACGCACAGCCAATCGCGTAACAGACTGCCCAGCCTGAACAGCACACTGCTTTCGTGAGAGAAAGAGAGGGAGAACGAAGGAAACATAGGGCAAAGACAAGCAGAACGAGCAAGGACGCAGGTGTTCAAACAAACCCTACACGTACATTAGCTGCTGATTTTGGGCATCGGCGGGAGGGGTTGTAGTTTGGCTGGGGGTGGGTCATGGAGGCAGCTTCTTGGAGGTCTGGGTTACGCTGGGCTCTAGAAAGTAAGGCTAGAAGGTCCCGGGGTTTTGTGCTTCTTTTTTCATTTTTTGAGCAACACAAATTCCCTTCGGGAAGCATCATCATGCAATCGCACACAAAACACCTCTTCGGGCAACCTAAACCCCAATTGCACTTCCTCATTTTGGGGTGCCAGTCATAGGTACCCCGAAAAGCTAAGTGCCGTTGGCGGTCTAGGACGGGTCTATCTGCGCGGCTTAGGCGGACATTTCGAGTCCTACCATGTCTTCATGAACTCTGAAACAAATCAGCTTAACATGATCACCAGATTCTTGTTTCCCGCCTTTCCGCTAGGGAACAAGAGGCTTGGGCCAAGTGGCTTTGCGATCTCTATCGCGATCCCGCTCGCTTGACCTGAATTTGCCACGAAGGAGCTTTGTGCATATATGTATGTACATATATAAATATGAAAAAACAAACAAATAAATGAATAAATATATATATATATATATAAATACATCTCTATATATGTATATGTATACATTTGTACTTATCTGTTTATACATTCCTAAAGTCGTTTGCACGGCGGTCAAGAGTGGACGTGCCGCAGCCCCGAACTCGCCGGAAGAGAGTTGCCACAAACGGTTCCGGGTTTCGACTCTCACAACTGGCGCAAGCGCGGGCAAGGAACCGGATTCTCATGTTCTGGGTTTAGGGTTTATAATCGGGTCACAATGCAGGAAGGTTGTTTGGCTCTTGGAGGACAATATCTGTCGCGGCTGTCCGGGGTGTCTGGAGGCCGGCGGAACAGGGTCGAGGATGCAGGGGCTGAGTTAGACGTTAGTAGGCTTGGCCAGCAGTTGGACTGTCTGGGGATGCGCGGCAATTAGTGCAGTTGGCAAGCGAGGCTGTCAGGCGTCTCCGCAGCGACTGAGGCACATGTTCAAACACTGCACCTTCGATTGGTCTTGAGCAGGGACAGTTCCGAAGGGAATCCTGAAACCTGCGTCCCTAAGAACAATTGGGTAACCGCGAACAGGATGCTGAGGTTTTGCGAACGTCACTCGGCCTACCCCGACTGCACCCTACGTTTCGTTGCATGAGCCTTCTCCCTGAAAATCCCTAATACCCCAAAGCGCTGAACCCTGAACCCTAAACCCTAAAAGACCCCGAACGCCAAACCCTAAGTCTACAAGACATGAATGGCCCAAGCCACCGCTGCTCACGGATGAGCTCATCAAGATCTCCCGTGGACCTTTGAAGGCGCTTTGCGTTGCTTCATTGCAGTTGTAGGGCTTCAGTTTGCCCAACTGGAGGGGTGCCGTGTATTTGGGCATCCTTATGAACACCTTTCTCAATCGAAGTCCTGCAAAAAGTGGTGTCCGAACTGTGAACCCCAAAAAAACTTCCCAGAACTCATAATATGAAGCCCCGTACTCTCGGAGCCTGTCTTGGCTCAACTCCTTTCTTGAGTCTTGACATCTACTGACCGTGGCTGCGTCCGACCCTTGGGAACGGAAAAAGACCCTGACAGGTGTTCCTCAGCCTCCAGCCGTAGACAGAAACCCCAAACCACAAACCCTACACTGTCTATCCTTTATCTCTTGTAGAAGGTTATAGTGAATTATAGGGATTATAGGGTTTTAGAAGGATTGGATTCTGGGCTTGTTTTCTGGGCACCATCCGAACTGTACAGCCGCTTGGGCTTCAAAACCCTTGAGCCCGCAATCCCTGGAGCCAGCTCGATACCCCGAACCTTTTCCGGAACCTTGACAGGTTCATGACGGTTTCATCTACGTTCACAGGGATGATCATCGCCGGTAGGCAGTAGACTTTTCAGAGGGTCATAGGCACCGTGTGCGATCCCAATTGTCAGGTTCCCGGTCACCCTACACCCTACACCCTACACCCTACACCCTACACCCTACACCCTAAACCCTAAACCCTAAACCCTAAACCCTAAACCCTACACCCTACACCCTACACCCTACACCCTACACCCTAAACCCTAATCAACTTCAACATGTACGGAAGACGGGTCCCGCACTTCAGGTGATTGAGCATGGGCCTTGGCAATCCTAAACCCTAAGCCCTAAACCCTAAACCCTAAACCCGAATAGGGGTTTAGGGGTTTTAGGGGTTTAAGGGTTTAGGGGTTTAGGGGTTTAGGGGTTTAGGGGTTTAGGGGTTTAGGGGTTTAGGGGTCTAGGGGTTTAGGGGTTTAGGGGAACACAAAACACATCCCAAAGGTACACCTAGGCCTGAGGAAGACGCGGCACATGTTCCAGAAGTAGCCCCGCAGAGTACTACTACAAAGTGAGGGTCTTAGGGGTGTCTTCCCAAAATTTCCCCCTGAATCGACCGTCTTCTTAGGGTTTAGGGTTTAGGGTTTACTTGCAGCGCCCATCCCCGAAATAGCCGGTAATTGCCGCGACCAGGGGTACCAAACTATCTTGGCCCTCCCTCAGCCATCAGAGGCAAGAACCTTCAGAAGCCCAATAAGTGCAGACAGAAAATCACCCTAAGCCCTTTTGAGACCGGACATGATGACTGCCACCCTAAACCCTAAACCCTAAACCCTAAACCCTAAACCCTAAACCCTAAACCCTAGACCCTAGACCCTAGACCCTAAACCTAAAAACCTAAACCACAGCAAAGGAGCCTCGAAGAGCCCTGGTCAAAAGCCCAGCAACCAGAACCCAGATCAGGTGTGTTGCATTGGAGGCCTAGGTACCCTAAACCAAACCCTTTTTGCTTCAGGGCTCCTGTGGACTAAACTACACCCTAAACCCTTGATGAGAAAGAGGGCATGTTGGGTACATGGCTTCTGGCAAAAAGTTTTTCGGTATAAGGGGTGCTCTTGGCAATTTATGTTAGGCTCCTGTGGTAAGGGTTATGACACCAAGGAAGAGACATGTGCTGCCTGGAAGCATCTCTTGCTGAAGGCTCCGCAGCACAACGCCAGCCCCTACAACCCAGCTTGCAAGAACTCGAGGCTGTTACTTAACCCTGAACCCCCAAACCCTTAAGCTACGCTGCCAAAACCTGATCCAGCCAATCAAAAACACCGTAAAAAACCATCATAGTACTTTTATAGACTTTTATGTAAGCGGTTGCCTTAACCCCGCCTTAACCCTAAACCTTATACACCCGGAATACACCCTATACACCCAGCAAACCCTATAAACCCTAAACACTAAATCCTCAACATAATTGTGCTACAAGTAAAACCTCTAAGCTGGGATCTGGGTGTCCGGGCAGTATGGCTTGCGAAGGGTTGGCGGCGCCCTTTAGCAATCTATCGAGCTGCGCCATGTCCTGTGCTGACGTTTACAGGATTAGGCACCGGGATAATTTTCTTGGTGTCCCCGGGGCAACAGGGGTGAAGTTTACAGTGGAGTATCTGTGTGCGGGTTTAGGGTTTAGGGTTTAGGGTTTAGGGTTTAGGGTTCAGGGTTAGGGTTTAGGGTGTGCTGAAGTGCGAACTTTTCTTCGACCTTTGAGCATGCACTTTGCCCACCCTGATGTCGGTCAAGTACACGTTCAGTCTTCTTCAACAATCCTGCCCCAGACCTCAACATTTACCTTGGGGATCAACTGAATTACCTGTAAAATTGGGGTCATGCGCCCCATGCTACTACAATTCCTATTAAGGTATATGAACCATAAACCCTTTTAGGGTTCATGTGGTCCCCAAGGTAAACCGAGCAAAGCCTAAAAGGGTACATTCTTGAATCCGTATTTTTTCGGGAATCCTACTATTTGGGGGGGTCTCTGATAGGGTTCCCTTGTTTTCGTAACCCGCAAAGTATAGACACCAACATCCCAGGTTGACCCTACACGGACCCGAACCCCCTAAACCCGTAGCCCTACTGCCCTACACCCTAAACCAGCCTAGACCCCAAACCCCGAACCCTACTCTAGGGTTTGCAGGGCTTTCTGTCTAGTAGCTTTGTGTAGGACAACAAAGAACGACACGACCTGCCATACAAACGAGAAGGGGAAAGCCCATGATTCCAAACCCTAACCTTGGGGACCAAATGGACTCTAAAATTGGGGTCATGCACCCTATACTACAATTCCTATTAAGGCATACGAACCATAAACCCTTTTAGGGTTCATGTGGTCCCCAAGGAAGCCCGAAGTAAACCCAACCATGAGGTCGCCCCGGGCGAGCTCTGCGGGTAGTTCTCTAAATTTAGTTCCCTGTGAACATCAATATTTTCAGGGTTCCGTTTAACATATAGGCTATATTATATAGGACCCGAAAAAAAGGACCCTAATTTAGAGAACTGCCTCTGTAGAGGTTGTGGTTTGGAAAGCGTGCATGCGGCGTCCTCCGTTTTCTGGTCGCGAGGGTGGACCACCTCGACGAACTTCGCCAAGGCCCTGGCAAGCTTCCACGCGCTCAGCCAAAGGCTAAACCCTAAACCTGTCACGTTTAGCTAGGGGCGAATAGGTGATTTTCCTTTCGCCCTAGGCGCGGATTGACTCTCGGAATGGCTGAGTGAGTGAGTCAGAGACCCTAACCCTAAACCTTAAACCCTAAACCCCAACACGAGGTCCCTGAAGACCAGTGTTGGCTTTTGCGGCATGCATTCCAGCTGCGGACCTTTTGGCCTTACGGCACATGGAGTGGGGAGAGCTTCAACTAGAAAGGTGGCAAACTGGAGGGATGAGCCGGCACAGGCCGTCCTTTCAGAGTCAGATCCGTAACTTGTCTGCCACAGAAGGTCAAAATCTCTAAAGGCAACCCTAAACCCTAAACCCTAAACCCTAAACCCTAAACCCTAAACCCTAAACCCTAAAACCTACCCTGGCAGCGCTGAGCCGTCTGCTGCGCCTGTCATCTAGTCTCCATCTGTTTCTGAACTGGAGCATGGCCTCCAGCGGGGCATAAACTTACTTCTCCTATGGGTTTAGGGTTTAGGGTTTAGGGTTTAGGGTTTAGGGTTCAGGGTTTAGGGTTTAGAGGGCTTAAGCTTCAATTTTCATAGTACACCAAGGAAATTCAACTCTTAGCCCTCGAACACAAACCCTAAACCCTAAATTCAAACCGTTTGCTAAACCCTAAACACTCCAGGGCTCCCAAACCCTAAGCCCTAACGCTTGAAGATTTGGGGGGAAACCAAATGAACCTCCAAAGGGTGTAGAGTCCACCCCCCCCCCCCCTCCCCCCTCCCCCCGCCCTTCCCCGCCCCCTCCGAATTTTCAGGCCAGAAAAAGAAGGTCACCTGTGAAGCAAGATGAGGCTCTTGACTCTTGGCCCTACTTATGGCAACCCGAAAAGACCCAAGCTTCGAGAGAATCTGCTCTCCCCTCAGTCAGACGCGCTTGAATCCCCAAGATCTCACTATTGAGAAACCCCGAAACCCTGCCAGCGCCTGGTCCAGCTTGCCCGCTCCGGTGAAACAGCCTCTCCTGAATGTCGGCTTCAGGGTACTACAGGGTCCTATGTGTTTTTAAAGCGAGCCTTGCGCAGTCTGTGAAAATACTTGTGCAGGATTTCGACTCTCGCACTCGCACAGGCAGGCAAAGATTCAGAATGTTGGTAGGTCGTTCGGCTCTTGTAGTAGGTGCATGTGAACTTCGGCGAGGGGTGCAGCTGCACCTCTGCTAATTACCAGACATTCCCTGTTCAGGTATGTGGACCATAAACTCGTAAAACCAAAGCCCAAGGTTCATGTGCTTCCTCCAGGTAGGATCTATTTATAACTCAACCCTAAGAAAGCAGCCGCGCAGCTCGAGCTCGCCGATCTTGACCATCAAGAAGCCAGATGGCTTCTGGGCATTTTCGCAGACCTGCGTGCGCTTTTTTTGGCCGCTAGCCAAGCTCCATGGGGCAACTGCAGCGGAACGCGATAAGTCCGATTTAGGGCCGAAAAACACTTAGGGTTCAGGACCCTCGGGGAGTTCGGTTTGGTTTTTGAGGGGGTTTTCGAGGGGGTTTTTGGGCGAGGGGAGCCACTGTGTCAGTACTTCTGCATGTATCTTCGGGCCGTCTTCCATCGAGGCTTGTTTTGGACATGAGCTTTTGGAGGAGGGTTGGGTAGGACGTGCTCAAAGCTTCTGGGGGAAATCAGGAAATCCATTGAATCTCAGGTCTCTTTCGCGAGGCTCTTGAAGTCTATTGTTGGGCTCCGGCCGGACCATCTTTCGCATGCCAGCACTGACATGGACGAGACGATGCTCCAGAAGCCAACTCGGCGTTCAATGCCGTAGCTTCGACAAGCACTAGCTTGGGTCTTCTCCTTACAGAGATAAAATCTGTTATGCCAAGTACCAGCAAAGCTCCCCCCCTGCCCTTTCCGGCTCTTGGCAGGTATTATCCCCCTAACCCAAGTGAAGGGATGAATAGAACAACCTGGGACTCGCGTCTTTTGCCCTTTAAGAGAACCCCTAAAACCCGAAGCCCCAAACCCAAAACCCTAATTAACCCCCCCCCCCCCCCCCCCCCCGCAAAAAAAAAAAAAAAAAAAAAAACAGCCCCCGGCCTCCCACAGGGCCTTCATGTCGGAATCAAAAGATCCCTCTCTCGTCAGCATGACATCCTCAAAAAGCCGCTTAGGGCTTCAGAGCAGTGTCTGACACCACACATGCAATGCTGTGCTCAACACGACCCAACACCTAAACCCGAGACATCCAAAAACTCCAAAACGCTCAACCCTAAACATCCTAGAATTTCTAGACCCTAAACATCCGAAAACTCCGAAACCCTAAACTCCTAAACCCTAAACATCCTAGAAACTTCCTAAGCCCTAAACATCCCATCCTTGGGCCATTGCCCCCAGCCAGCTGAGGTCCGGACGTTGAGTCTGCGCATGATGCGATCCTCGATGTTGAAGGTTCGGCATAGGGCCTCCACCTCATGGGGGCTTTAGGACCTTAAGGGCTTAGGGTTTAAGGTTTAAGGTTGAGGTTTAGGGTTTTTGCGGCGGATGTTGCTGTTCAGCTACCATGCTCCCCGGACTGGCAGGAAGAAGGAACACCTAGGAACTCTGAAACATCTGGTAGATCCCCAACTACAGGATCCCAGAAGAAGCCCTAAACCCTAAACGCTCTACACCCTCAATCCTAAGCCCTAAACCCTAAACCCTAGGCCCTAAAGCCCAACCCGAAACCCCAAGCCCCAAACCCCACCACAAGCTGGACAGTTCACCCGAAAATGCCGCAACACGCCACCAGCAGGACTGACCCCCTCTTGTTGACTGATGGGACTAGTTCCTGCGCTTACCATAACCCTAAGGCCCTAAAGTTTAAATTGTTTGATTGAAATTTCAGGATGATTAGTAAACACAAAACCCAAAACCCTAAACCCTAAACCGCTAAACCCTAAACCCTAAACCTCGAAAGCCCAAAACCCCAACCATTTCTTGCCAACACCCGGCGCCTGCGGATCAATGGGCATCTGGCCTTGGTCAAGCAGCAGGGTAGGGTTTCAGGGTTTCAGGGTTTTTTCGGGTTTAGGGTTTTAGGGTTTTGACAAGGGTTTTAGTGTTTTAGGTTTTATTTGTTTTCGGGTTTTAGGGTTTAGGGTTTAGGAGGACCAGGCGACAAGCAAGAAGGGCCTTTCCAAAAAAATCTTAAATGCCAAGCTGTAAGCACGCCCCGGACGCCAGTCTACCAAATTCAGTATCTAAAAGTGCTCAAACTCCTCAAATGTGGCTTCAGGGTTTAGGGGCTTAGGATTTAGGACCTTTAGCCCTCGGCTTCAGCAATCGGAGCCACCCGTCACTTTGCAGAAGTCTCGAAAATACACAACTCTGCGAAACCGAGATGCAATGCTCCGCGTTGGGGGCAAGCTTGCCTTTGCCTCTGCCCTTTCTCTTCTCTTTGGGAACACCTTGGCTTTTTGATGCTTGCTTTTTGCCACCCGCCTAGCTGACACTCAGGCCATGTTTTTTGGTGGTCTAGGGTTTAGGCTTTCAGGATCTAGGGGTTCATAGGGTTTACGGTTAGAAGCTCGGGACGTAACGAGAAACTGAACGACATCGCGTGGAGCTGTCGGCTTTCGGGTTTAGGGTTTGGGGCTTGGGATTTAGGGGCTTTGGGTTTCAGACCCGCAAAAACACATGTCCCTAAACCCTACCCTAAACCCTAAACCCTAAGCCCTACACCCTAAACCCCCCAAGGTTCAAATTCACAAGGTCGGGATCTGAAGGATCCCGGAGCGAAGGGTGGGCCACAGGGCCACATCCTCTCCGCCCTGTTATAGGGTTTAGGGTTTAGGGCAGAAGGGGGGCGGGGGTTCGAGGGGGGTATTACCCAAGGTTCCCTAATACTCCCCACTACTCCCTGAAGGTTTTGTAAGGTTCCTTGGGTACCTACCCCCATGAACTCGTCTCCCCTTGAGCACCTATAGCATTCTTCTCCAAAACCTGCTGAACTTCTATTCATCAATATGATCCTCTTAAACCCAACAGGGGAACATCAAAAAGGTCCCTAGGTCCTACCTATGGGCTTGTCATTCTCATTTCTAGCCAGCGATTCAGTCACTGTCTCCACTCCTGAAGGCCCTAAACCTTCAAGCCTCTTCCCCTTGCGACGCAAAATCTGCCTGTTCAGCTTCCCAAGATTCCCCCCCGCCCCCCCCTAAACCCTAAGCCCTAAACCCTAAACCCTCAACCCTAAACCCAAAAAAAAACAGCCGGAAAGACCGAAACCCGTCGACTAAAAAAACACACACACACGGCCCAGGATCTCTCCACCAAGCCCTCTTTGAGAGGCTCCTCTCGAGAAATCTGCTCTCGTGCATGCGGGCAGGGAGGACCAGGGGGACCGATGTCGCTGCATTCTATGGGGTGGATTTTGAGGGCCGTAGCCCAAACAAAAAATCCATGAGGGCTACTGGAGGGTTATTGCGGGGCTAGTAGGAGTTTTAGTTACTATGGGGTTATATTCCTGAAGCTTATGGGGGAGTTTTGTTTTTAGGGATTAGAGCCTATAGTAATAGAACTTGAAAATTTTCTCAACACAAGGGCTTCGCTGGCTTCCTGTTTTTCTCGCCTGGAGGCTAGAACAACGTGTAACATGGTGTTGCTTCGAGCGCCCATGTTTTGTGTGGCCTGAAAGGTGCCAAAACCCTTTCTTGGCACCCTAGACCCCAAACGCACATAGAGCCCAAACCATTTTCTCTTCTGCGGCTCCGTCCACCAGCAGGGAAAGCAGGGAAGCAGAGTTGAGTTTAGGGTTTGTTGGGTTTAGAGTTTAGGGGATTTAGGGATTTAGGATTCGAATGGCCTGAGAGGGAGCTGTATGCCGTACAGGGCTTCGAAAGCCCGGGACGCGGTTTAGGGATTGGGGTGGTGCAGGGATTTCTTTTTCTGTGGGAAAGAAGTCGTCCAAGGAACCACCAGCTCTTTACGTTGCACTGCCACCTGTCCAGCGGCAGGCCTTTGGCGAGAAAACTCATTGTCCACCACTGCCGTTTATGCTCCCGGCAAGCCGTTCACAGGCTCTTACTACCGCACACTGATTTTTACACTGCAACTAATGGACACAAGACAGGAAACGAGATTGATTCTTTAAGGTGAAGCTTGGGGTTTACCCCAACTCTTACCTCAGATTTAGACAACCTAGGTTTATATTGAACAAAACTTGACTTCTCTTTTGATTCGACTAAAGTTTCACGAGATTGCTTCGTAGATTTGGACCCAGTTGCATCTGTATGCTCCTTAACCTGACCTCCAAGCATGCCATTCAAAGTTGACATGTGAGCCATGACACATGTCGCTGGGGCCATGTTTCTTTACGCACACCGGGCCACCTTCATTAAGGGCCAGGATGCCCGGCCATCTGCTAGGATTGCCCGTTTAAACCCCCTCTGAATTTAGGAGGCACATGTGAAAGCATCCCCAGGGCCTATAGCTAGTCTAGAAATCATTCTCAGAATAAGTATAGGGCTGGCCTCTGCTTGTGGAGTCGGCGGGGTGAACGCCATCTGTCCCATCCTTGGCGAAACTTCATGTTGAAGCCGGGTTTAGGGTTTTTTTCCCTCCTGCACAGCTGGGGCGAATCCGCATCGCAGGGCGATTTCGAGTCCGACTGGTGCCGTTGGTAGCTCTCAAGGGTGCCATGAAAAGTTTAGGGTTTAGGGTTTAGGGTTTAGGGTTTAGGGTTTTAGGGTGTGGGGTTTAGGGTTTAGGGCGGATGTTTGCTGAACATCTTCTTACGGTGGACATCACGGGCAGATCCGGCACCCTGGGCTGCGAGGCTGTACGCATCCCGCCTGAGACTCCAGAACCCAATCTAGCCGCAGATGTCGATGTTGGCTTTACTGAAATTATACATGTTATGATGTTTTGTGTCCATATATGTATGTATGTATGTACGTATGTATGTATGTATGTATGTATGTATGTATGTATGTATGTATGTATGTATGTGTGTGTACATTTGTACATTCCGCAAACAATATGTATGTATGTATGTATGTATGTATGTGTGTGTGTATATATACATTACACATGCACATAGCGGTTGTTCTAAGTTGCTTGAAGGGCAATGGGCCATTACTCGCGAAAACGTGATTTGTCTCTCGCGGAGCCTATCGTAGACGTGTGCTGCTAGATTTTTCAGGCTGCAACCATCCCAGCACTTTTGCTAAATGCTTCCTCAGTATATACACAGACTGTCAGAGACGTGATCATGAAAAATCGTCGCAGCATGACTTGCAGACAAGGAGCTGTCCAACAACCCTCATAAATGTATATGTACATATATACACATACACACACATACATTCACACACACACGCACACAATATGTGTGTATATATATATATACATATACATATACATATACATATACATATATACACATATACATATACATATACATATATATTAATATACACTTATAGATTGCCTGTTGAACGCGGGTCCAAGGCCAGGGCATCATCGCCATCATGGGGTTCATCATCATCGGGTTCATAGCCATAGGCCTGCGGAGAGGCACAAGGAACAGGATATGGGGGTTTCCTAGAGTCGTTTAGGGTTTAGGGTTTAGGGTTTAGGGTTTAGGGTTTAGGGTTTGGGGATACCTTCTCGGGGTCCCTGCTGCAAGGGGATCCTGCTATTTGGGGGTTTATTTTCGGGTCACCTTTTAACTTCGTAAGCCTCCATGTGGGTCCCTGCCACTGCTACCTGGCATACCTAGAGGTTCATGGTACTTATTAACCAATTACATATAACCCACTTTATAAGCCCCTGAAGTGCCCTAATATGGCAAAAAGTACAGTTGTAAGTGCAGTTTTTGAATTGGTTAATAAGTACTCTGAACCTCCAAGTAGGGCTCGACGCCAAGCCTTGTTCAGTCATTTTGTGCCAGGGAACTATGGTCACTACTCTGCCGCTGCGTGCGTGCGAGGCACATGCCCATCATGCCCGGCACGGGCATGGCACTGGGCATGGCTGGCATAGCCGGCATGGTGCCAGGCATGCCGGGCATGGCCCCCATGGCTGGCATCCCCATGCCGGGCGCCATGCTGGGGCAGCTGGGCATCGCCGGTACCTGCAGAGAGGATCGGGAGGCTCCGGTGTATTGAGAATCTACAGGACCATGCCTGAACGAAGGATCCAGCTTAAGGCATCGGTTCCTCCTGATACGTTCTTCAGCTTCATGTCACGGGTCAGAAGGTCAGGGGTCGCTTCCATGTGGACCCCTGACTCCCCCTTACCCGGACCCCTTAGGGTTTAGGGTTTAGGGTTTAGGGTCATTCTACACAAACCTGAACTTCTACCTGCTGTAAACCCTTGAACTACTCTGCCCCCGCTACATTGTAAAAGCCTCCCCCCCCTCCCCTAACCCCCTTCGCAATATTCCTTTTTTTTAGTGCGTTTCGGGTTTGGGAAATGTAGCTCGAAAGCCTAAATGTGGCAGTGCTTCTCAAAATGCATTTAGACAAGTTTTGGTTGGGTAATAATGGTTTGGGAAACTGCTCTGTAGTATCTTAGCGATTCGCGGGTGGGGTGGGGGGGGGGGGGGGTCCGGCCAAGGTTTTTTTTAAGGAGGGGCTTTATAATCGTACGCAGCCCAACACCCTACTAACACACATCCATCACCTCTTAAAATAAACCTTCTTTGCAACCCTACCTCTAAACCCCCAAACCCTAAACCCAAACCCAAACCCCAAACCTTAAACCCTAAACCCTAAATCCTAAACCCCAAACCCTCAACTCGTGGAGCACGGCCATGGGTGCCAGCGGCGAGGCAGCAGCCAGCCCGGCAGCTTCGGTGCCTTGATCGCTTGGGGGGGGCTGGGGGGCGCGGAGGGGGGTGGGGGTTCGGGTTGGTTCAGGGTTCAGGGTTCAGGGTTCAGGGTTTAGGGTTTAGGGTGTTTAGGGAACCCTGAACATTCTTTCTTCAGGGGGTCTTGGGCCTTTCGGGGGGGGGGGGGGGGGGGTTTAGGTAGGGGAAGATGTCGGGTTGAGTGTCTAGGGGTTTTCGTGGTGCGGAAAGAAGTTCGGGGTTCAGGGCTTTAGGTTGTGTGGGCTTTCGGAGTTCAATCGCATGCTGTTGCTGGGAGGTCTCTGAATATGCCTGCACGGATACGCTACCGTACTCCTACTGCTGAGGGCAGTGTGAGGCTGAAAGAGTAGGGCAGCACCTACTGCTGAGGGCGAACAAGCCAGCAGAGCTCGCAAGTCGGACAAACACTGTGGTCGTCATTCAGGATGCCGAGCCCGACGAGGTCGGCGGAAGACAAGGCGATGCTCGACAACCGACCCAGCCTCCCTACGCCCGGTACTCCCAAACGTTAGCTCTTGTACAAGTTCTGCCTCCCGAAAATACACAGTGACATGGCTGCCTTTGATACTGTACAAACAAACACAACGAATATATCTATATATGTTTATGTATACATGCCGCCCCTCCCTGGCCGGCCCTATACTTGGAGGTTCCTGGGTACTTCTACGCCCAATCATATCTGTGAGCCCCCTAAATCCTCTAAGTAGGTGATAAGTAGGCGTATAATTCTCGCTATAAAGTACCCATGAACCTCCAAGTGCCCCCATTTTCTTGGAGACTCCGGGCATCGGCTGGGACCACCAACCGGCGCACCTGCGCATCCCAAACTCTAAACCCCGGATTCTAGATTTGGAGATGGAATCCAGATTTCCAAATTCAACTTAGCCCCTTTTGTGAACCTAGACTTGATACCCTAAACCACCTAGACGCTTTTTCACAAGGGACTCGACTGCCGCCCTTACTTCCATGCCTAGACGCTAAACCTGGAGTCTTGAGCTCATCACAATTCTGGTAACAAACGAATCTGGAAGTCCGAAAATAAGTATGCAATGCCAAGATGCTGTCTCCCTCCATGCCTCCCGTGCTGTCTCTACTGAGCCACGTGCCGACGGGTGAGATATGTTTCCCGCGTGGTCTGAACCAGAACCCTCGCTGGAACACAAGCAACCTCTAGTGGAAACAAGGCAATGCGTGCAGGTTGATATGGCTTCCTTATTGTGGTAACTTGACCAAGACTCGCTTAAGCACCCTTTCAACTCAAACCAGTGGCTCTACATACCATACCTACTACGTTGGGGCTATACACTGGTTGGGATTTGGGCATAGGCTCTCGCAGCTGGAAGGCTTCAATATGATCCTTCTGACTCACCTCCATTAACCTGGCTTAGGGTTTGGGGTTTGGGGCTTGGGGTAAGTTATCTTGGCTTTATATTCTTCTTTAACATTGGGGGAGGTGCGTCTCTTTGGGTTCGCTAAGGTTGGGGATGTATGGGTGTCTTCTCGGATTGGGCTGAGGGTTCAGGGTCGGTTTCGGATGTAATTCGGGTTTGCTGAGCCCCGACGTTTCAGGGTTGCTTTTGCTTCAGGGTTTTGGGGCCCCCTAAACCCTGAACCCGAAATCCGACAGCCCTAGAACCCTAGCTGGGAACCGTAAGAGACCTCCGGTTGTGGAAGTAAGGCAACGCCTAGGATGGACTGGTAGGTTGGTTCGACAGAGCTGCTAGGGGGGTCCGACGCCCTGACCTTACAGTTACACTGCCTTACACCCTTATCCCTATTTCGGGTTTCGGGTTTAGAGCACGACCCTGCAGAGACCAGTGGCCGAACTGTCGAAAAAAATCCACCTGCATGGTGCACCAGTTTTTCAATGTCTCAAGCTAGGCCGGCAGCGGTCAGTGCATCATAGGCATCCTTAATGCGCTGGAAGTCGGCGCTTGTGGTCTGGTCATCCGGACGCTTGTCCTCGGAACCGAGTCTGTCAATGAATTAGGGCGTTGGTTGTTTGGTTTTTTTTTGGCACCCGCATAGCTGGACGAACCACTCCGCAGGGTTTACGTTTAGGGCTTAGGGCTTAGTTAGGGCTCGGGGCTTCGGCTGGTTTAGGATAAGGTGGGCTTTTCAAGCTGCTACGTGCAAGAGGCGTTGCTCAAGCTCAGGCCTGGAGCCCTGCAGAAGACCTCTACAAAAAAACCACACAGCAAGGGGGAGTAGGGCGTAGCGTATAGGGGGGTAGAGTGGGAGGGAGTAGCAGTAAAGAATAGTAGGGGTAGAGAATAGGGGGGGGTAGTAGGGGTTAGAGTAGGGGGGTAGCAGGGGACCCTCACTTTGAACAAGCGGCCCCTAGAGCCCGAACCCGAAACCCAAACTCAAGGTCGACAGCACCCAAGTCTCTCTACCTGTGCGTTCCAGACCGTACTTCTCCAGGAACTAAGCCGTTTTAGGGTTTAGGGTTTAGCAAAAAATAACTATCTTCTATAACACAAGACGATCCGAAAGAGTGTAAAGTTCGGGCTCACCGGCGGTGGATCTACGCATCTACTAGTTTGAGGTGGGTATACACTGTTTCTTGAGGCACTGTGACCGATGCGGTGACAAGGATACAGGCAACCCTAAACCCCAAACCCTAAACCCTTTGTTTACGGCTAGGACTGCTGCACTGCCTGCCTGGGGACGAAACCATGCCTTTCAGGAGCGGGCAACGCGGACTCTGCCCCTAAACGCTAAACCCTAAACCCTAAACCCTAAACCCTAAACCCTAAACCCTAAACCCTTACCCTTCCCTTGGGAGGATCACCTTATTATGCCCACTGCAGCCACGGGGCAGGATGATACTTCAAAGCTAAGGAGCCTCGGATCGAAGAAGGTGCGCCATTGGTTTGGGGCGTTGGTTTCTAGGATGGCCCTTAAAACCCTCTTTAGGGTTTAGGGTTTAGGGTCTAGGGTTTAGGGTAACCTAACTCCTGAATATGATCCTCTTAAGCCCAATTAGGGAACATATCGAATGTCCCAAGGGCCTACCTAGGTTCGGGGGATGGAGGGCCGGCCGAGACTCTCTAGCTTAAGCAGTTGCCTATTTGACATTGTTCAATGAGAGGAGACCCCAGAAAGGCTGGAAGACGCCGGAAGCCTTTTTTCACAATAGTCCTTAGGCTTCCAACACCTTGACCCCCATGATTCCTTGCAGTACCAAAAACCATGGGCTTTGTTGTTGTTTATTTTATTGTTTTTTCTTTTTTTTTTTTGGGGGGGGGGGGGTCCTGAACGGCCAAGTCCCTTTTGTTTGGCCACAACGCCGTATTCTAGTAAAAACCTTCAAGCACAACATTTCCCTAAACAAGCCCAAACCCTAAACCCGCAACCCTAAACCCTAGTGTTTAGGCTTTCTAGGGTTTAGGGGCCTAAACCCTAAACCCTAAACCCAAAACCCTAAACCCTAAACTTGTTGCGCCAGGAGTGGCGGAAGGCGCGCTTCACCGCCTCTGCAGATGTGGGTGGCTGCAGGCCGAGAGTCGCCAGATGACGGCGCATGGCAGGATCCTCGCCACGTCGTTCTTGAGTGCGGTTTAGGGAGTAATTAGGGTTCAGGGTTTAGGGTTTAGGGTTTGGGGTTTGGGGTTAGGGGTTCGGGGTTAGGGGTTTAGGGTTTAGGGTTGGATGTTCCCCCTTATACTAACAGTCCTTAATAGGGATTATAGTACCCCTCGAATTCTGATTAAGGACTGTCCGTACGTGGGGGAGCATCCCAACATACGGGGTTTAGCATGGGGATTTCATGGCTGCAGAGACTGGCTCAGTAACCCCGCCTGCCGGTTACCTCTAAAACAAAATGAGCTTACATAGCAAGTGATACAGCCATGAGTAGCGGTCATGTGACTGTCGCGTGATCGCTAACCACGGCTGTATCGTGGGCGAAAAAAATGGAATATTAACAAAAAGAGGTAACCAAACACAGGGGTAACCGCAAAACTTTCACTAATAGTCGGTGTAATAATTTAGGTTTTCTGGGGTGTTGAATAGGTTTCATCACAAGGTTTATACTCGTTTTAATAGTAGGGTTGTGGGGTTTTACCATGGCTTTTAAGGGTTTTGGGGGCTTTGGGTTTAGGAGTGGCTTAAGCAGTTGGGGGGGGGGGTGGCAATTTGAACTGCTTCAGGTTCGATTCATTGCTTATGAGTGGCGATGAGCCAATTTCTAAATATCTGCAGCGGCGATGCAGAGCATCCAGCTCGGCGAGCTTCGGTTGCCCTACGAGATCAGCAGTCTCATGTCACCCTTCTGCCCCCCACTAGTTCCCCTATTAAGGTTAAGGACTGCTAGTATAAGGGGGAACATCCCAAATCCTGCACGTCAAGCTCCCAAAAATAACCTGCAGCCCCGAACTGAAAACCACCGGATGGCAACTCTCACAGTTCTCCTCTCTGCCAGGCTGATGGAGGGCTCGTTGCTTGGGCCGAATGTAGCCGTTCGAATAGAAGTACCTGACTCAAATGCAAGCCCAGCCCGGCAGCAGCAAGTACAGGTGCAGGGTCAAACACGCTTTGTGGGAGGATGGGGAGGTTTTGGCGGAGATGAGGTAAACAAAAACACATGCTGAAGTTCCGATTCCTGTTGCACGACAAGCCCTCAGCACCCAAAAACACCAGCGAAAGCCCTTCGCGACCGAAACGGGGGTTGGTTTTCAAGCGAGTGGTGTGAGTGTCCTCTTTCGGGGTTGTCCTTTGCAAGCAGCTTGACAACAGAATGGCACCCGAACTTTGAAACAAAACTCGGTCGGCATGGCTCCCCCTGAGACGGGGATTTGGGCTTCGGACTCTCGCCACGCACGCGGCACGTGGGCAGGGCGCGAGGGCTTGAGGTATCGGTCTGACTCACCTCCACCTAACCCGGCTTAATACTTAAAGGGCTTAGAGCTTGAAAACCTAAACCCTATAGACCCTAGACCCTAGACCCTAGACCCTAGACCCTCAACCCTCAACCCTCAACCCTAAACCCTAATCCCAGTGTCGAGCCCGAAGCTGAGTTGCTGCTTCAATTCCTGGTCGGTCCAGCTCTCGGCATCCTCCCCAGGGAGCTGCCCACAGAAGCCTGGAAACTCCTGGCAAAGGGTTTAGGGTTTATAAGGATTATGGGGTTTATAGGGATTATAGGGTTTATAGGGTTTATAGGGTTTAGGGTTTCGGGTTTAGGGTTTCGGGTTTAGGGGTTTCGGGTTGAGGGCTGAGAGCATTGCGGGCTTCGGCGGTCGAGGGCTTTACGGGTTTGAAGGGTTTAAGGCTTGTTTAAGGGCTTCAAGGTCTAAGCCAGGGTTACCCTGAACCCTTTTTCACAGCAGGCCTCGGCTCACAGCGGCCCTAAACCCTAAACCCTAAACCCTAAACCCTAAACCCTAAACCCTAAAAGCTAAAAGCTAAAAGCTAAAAGCTAAACCCTAAACCCTAAACCCAATTGGCCTGCTGAAGGATTTCGATGCTCACGCCCGCACAAGGCAGGCAAGGCGGCTGTCCGACTGTCCCAAGGTTTTGTTTACTGATGTATTCTTGTTTTCTTTCTATTATTTGTATTCTTCTTCTAATTATTGTTTTTTCTTACTATGATTATTCTTATGGATGCAGGGATTCGAGGCTTGGGGTTTAGGTTTTTTTCGTGCCTAGGGCTTCAGGTGAAGAGTGCAGGGTGCCTGCATGAACCGGCGAACCCGAGGACCCATGGCCGAAGTGTTTTCATCGCCTGTGTCCTGGCTCAGGGGTTACAGGGAATTCGAGCGACTTGTGAGTATAAGCTTTGCAGTACGTGAGTTAGGGCTCGGACTCTCACTTTCGCTACCGGAAGGACGGTCTCTGGCTTCGAGTCTTAGGGAGGTCGGAGGTCTAGGGTTGAGGGCACACGAAGCTGGTCTAGTGTGCTCGATGCGCCAACCAGCTAGGGCTGCAGCGGGTTGTTCTCATCGTACCCCCGATGATCATACCCTTCATCATGACATTCTCCTTGAATCAAACCAATATGCAAGCGGAAAGTCCCAGAGTGAATGTAGTCCTGCGTTTCCCGTGTGGCTTCTGGCGGCGGAGGGGTCGGCGCTGAGCGCGCCTGACTGCGCAAAAGCAAGTTCAACCATGGGTTTCTCTCTCCTAAACCCTGAACCCTGAACCCTGCACCCTAAACCCTAAACCCTAAACCGCAGGGGTTCGTAGGATCGACCAAAGAAGGACATGAACTCCAGGCGCTGTTGAGGTGCAAGTCCAGCAGTCCCAGATGGTAAGTAGACTTGGGATACCAGGGTGCGCCTAGGCTATCAGGCTCATGTTACATATATATATATATATTATATAAATATTTTTTGTATTAAACCCTAAACCCCAAACCAGGTACGCGTCAAGATCCAGAATTCTTGCTGACCAAGCCTTCGGGCGCGGGGGCGGGCGATAGTTTCCGGAACCTGGACAGGTTTGGGGGCCTTAATAAATCAGAATAGGACGTTGTGGGGGGGGGGGGGGGGGGGGGGGGGATAATTACAGCATAAGTTTTTGTATACATTAATGGGGGCAACTATAGTCTCATATTTCTTGTATACAGGGACCATAAGAGAATGACTATTGTTCATTCCGACCCGGCTTCGGCTCGCAGACTTGCACGATTCAGACCAGGATTGGGTCCGTCGGGCCAGCGTGACACTACTGATCCACTAACTTTGCCATGGCCAGGAATGTGTGCACAATACAAGGGTTTAGGGTTTAGGGTTTCGGGTTTAGGCATAGATCCCCGAAAGGGTCCAGGGTTTAGTCGGCGGAACGCCCGGTTCCTTGGCTTCAAGCTTCGGAATTCGGCTTTTCTATGCATGGGCGATTGGGAGGTAGGCGGTCTGTTAGGTACAGAGTCGGGGTCCTGAAATGGCTGTTTTTGTTTTGACACCTTTGAGGGAAGACCAAAGATTATACTATACGCCCTGCCCTGAACCTCGTCCCGACTCATGTTCAGTGGAGCCGCTGGCGTGCTAACGGCTGTTATCGGCAATGTCGGGGATGTTGTCTGCTACAAGCTGTGGAAGGCCTATGCGGAGAAAATAACACCCGAAGAAATCAGAAAGATCCATGGGAACCCCAAACAAGTACAAAAGAACAATATCCGTCTGGCCGACGTCTCCACCAATTCATAAAGCCCCTCTGCCTGAACCACTCCTGAACACCAAACCAGCTAAACCCTGAGCCCTGAACCCTTAGCTTAAAACCCTAAACGACCTAAGCCGTTAAAAGGCACTTTTCGCAAAATAGAGGACCCCCCCCCATATGAATTCGAAACGCAAACGTGATATGTTTTATCACAACAAGTCCGACAAACAAAACAACACGGACCCAACAAGAACTCCAACACACCTCTGACAAAAATCCCTGCAACTTGTGACCAGAAACCGGGTGTTAGAAGTAGTCACAATGTGCGATAATCCGGAAACATCGGAACCCCAAGAAGGGACCTAAACCCTAAACCCTAAACCCTAAAACCCCCCAAACCCTACTTATCGGAAACTACCTTCCGGCGTCGTGGCAACCACACTCCCCTAAAAAACATGGGGGGCCTGCGGGACGGGCCGCGTTCTTTGGGTCAACCGGAAGAGGCCCAAATTCCCCTGGCTGTGGTCGAAAGGTCTCAGGGTAGACAGGGGAGAGGGTCGAGGGGTATACATAGGCTATAGGCCGGGTAGAAGGGTATGAGGGCCTTTGGGGACAGAGGGACGAGACACTGAGGGTGTAAGGTTTAAGTGCATCAGGAATTTCGGGTTAGAGATGCAGGCAAGGTTATTGCCACGTCGATTCCGAAAAGCCCCTGGATTCAAGTTGAACCCCGAGCCAAGTTCCAAAAACCCGCAGCACCATACAGACTCTGAATTCAGGGCGAGGGAGGGTGGCGTTGCGCGTCATCACCTCCTGTACACGAGCTGATTGGCTGTATCGCTGCAGCATCGGAATTTGGCGATTGGAGCTTCTTCAAACTCACGGTTCTCCCTACTAGAGGTACGGTTTCTAAAAGGCCATTGAAAGGATTCCTCATTGACAATTTAAAAGGTCTCTACCAGGGAGCCTAGTTTAGGAGCAGCTGGGAGCACAAAATTGTAGGTCACGACTGAAGAGTTCAGATGCTGTGCGAAGCACGTGTACAGCCAGTAGACAAGATATCACTTGCAGCAACTTCCGGAATTAACGATGGGTTTCTACCAGCAATGTAGTGCGCAAGATGGGAAGACTATACGATGCCAATGAGTTGGGATGTTTCCCCTTATGCTAACAGTCCGTAATGGGGACTCATTCGAAAAAGGGCACGATAATCCCTATTTAGGACTCTTAGTATCAGGGGGAGCATCCCGACCAGTGAGACTAGCAACTGTCTTGTTCACGAGAACTCATCTTTGCGAAGGCAACATCATGCCCAAGTCCAATCAGGGCTGGAGCCTAAACCCTACACCCTAAACCCTAAAAGCTAGAAGCTAAAACCCGAAACCCTAAACCCCAAACCCTAAACCCGAAACCCTAAACCCGAAACCCTAAACCCTAAACCCTATGCAAGCCCTCAAAAACCCCAAGAAGAACCAAGCGGCCTGGGCGCAGGCCAAAGGTGGCTTCCTTGAGCCGGAAGATCAGGTCCATTCCTGGGGTCACTTGCCCGAATTCCAAAGGCTAGGGTTTAGGGTTTAGGGTTTAGGGTTTAGGGTTTAGGGTTTAGGGTTTAGGGTTTAGGGTTTAGGGTTGAGGGTTGAGGGTTGAGGGTTGAGGGTTGAGGGTTGAGGGTTGAGGGTTGAGGGTTTGGGGGGGGGGGGGGGGTTAGGGTTTCGCCAATCACAGAACTCACCATAGAAACTTGAACCACTGGTCAATGCTCATCTGTTCATTGCATTACAGGGCGGCCCCTCTTATTTCGGGTGCCCCAAAAAGGGACCACCATTTTGAGAACTGATCATCTGCTGATGTCTCGCCATTCTGCATGGCTGACACTGAGCTGTCGAGGTTGGTGGAGGAGGAGCGACAGGCCAGACTCGACGACATGATCTGACTGCCTTGACCTGATTGCATTATGACAGGATGCGCCGACCCCCATGAGTCGGCGTTAGTGAAGCCTTTGTTGTTTTCGCTCCCACCCAGCTTGCGCCCACAACCCCCCTGCCACACCTACTCCTACCCCCTAAGTATCCGTATCCCCTACCCTCCCTCCCCCTTGCGACGCCACCTCGTCGTGCGCGTGGCAGCCAGACTCCGGCATGACTTGGTTTGGAGCTTCAGCTGGTGGGGAATATCGCCAACGTTTCAGTCTTCGGATCGCTCGACTCCATCCATGTGCAGAAGGCAGGCGAAAGTTAGACTGAGTTGTGCACTGCTTACCAGCTTCCCCTGCTTTCTCGACACGCGTTTCGCCGAGCCAACGCATGTGATCACCTTTCCATCATACGAAACCGTTGCAGGAATCAACGCATTCCCTCTAAACCCAAGCCCCTTAAACCTAAAACCCCAAAACCTCAAAACCCTTAGAAAACCCTAAAGACGGAAAACCCTTAAACCCTAAAACCACACAACCCTAAACCTACTCCCCTTAGAACCTTAGTAAAAAATAATATGTTTTAATATCCTCTTGGGTGTTATATGAACAATTTTAAATTAATTCGGAAAGGGGGATATAGAAACCCCCTAATCTAAACCCTAAACCCTAAACCCTACACCCTAAACCCTAAACCCTAAACCCTAAACCCTCCCTAATCATTCGAAAGCCCCAGCTTGCCGCGCAGCTTCTGTCAGCCGCGCGGTTGGCTTGGAAGCGAGAATTGAAGCAGCCCATCGGGAATGGCACTCCTTGCCATGCCATGGTTCGAGAGGGGTTAGGGTTTAGGGGGTTTAGGGTTATAGGGTTTATAGGGTTATAGGGTTATAGGGTTATAGTAAGTTATAGGGTTATAGGGTTGTAGGGTTGTAGGGTTATAGGGTTTATAGGGTTCTAGGGTTCTAGGGTTCGAGGGTTCTAGGGTTCTAGGGTCAACGGCCAAGGTCTAGAGGAGGGCATCTCTTGATGCGGCAGTGGCTCGGAATCTTCCCCAAGGCAGTTGTGTTCAGTCAGCCCGACTGTGGGCCATGAGCTAATCTACCCACCTATGAAAGCCTATGGCCAGAAAATTTTTGGTGCACTGGCTAGAACTTCACTTCTTGACCTTGAAAATTTGGAAGGATTTACATACAGGGATCTGCTTTCTGTAGGGCTTCCTCTCGGGTTGCCAGAGTGTGGCGTCAGAGGGGATCGACTTAATTGCCTGGAGGGTCCTACATGTTCTGTTTTGAGGCGCGTAGGGATTCTTTTTGGGGTTGCGACCTTGATTTCGGCCTCATGGGCTGTACGAGGCCTGAGAATAAAGTTGGGGTTTATGCCCCACAAGGTTCCCCGGTGTCTGAGACGAGAGGCCTTGTGCGAAGCAGCATTGCTGCAGCTCCTCGCGTTCAGTGGAAAGCTGTAGAAAACTCGACTGGCTACACGTGATTCGTCTAAGGTTGCAGATTTCCACCACATGTCTTGGTTCTTATAGCCCGGCGAGATTTTTGGGAGTTGCTCATATGCCTGTCCGAAATTTGCATGCGTTTATACGGAAGGGAAGCGAACACATGAGATGCGTCAGACATGAGAGAAACCTCACATCACTGCACCGCCACCAGAGGTTCTAGAGTTCGTGCGCGTCGCTTGTTTGCTGGACACTCTCTTCATTCAACATCATGCTTGTGGACCGATGCTGAATGGAACGGCCGATGTTGCGATTGAACGCAAATCACGTGAGCAAACAACTCTTGGCTCGCGAGTAACTATCATCGATGTCATTGTCGTTCTTTAGAGCTGTCATGGCTGTTGCCCGAACGGGAACTGCGAGTATTGTAGTTTCAGCTCGTGCTGCTGCCTCGTAACCTGAGGAAGGAAGTGAATGACCATTCGAAAAAAAGAAGACAAATCGACAGAATGAACAGCATAGCAATGATTATGGTTATACCTCTGTTGCTTACTCGATGCTTAATATGTCCTATGCAGGTTTCAAAGCAGGCGCAGCAAAACCGAAGGGACACATTCGAGCGATTAGAACGGCACGGCTTGCTCGACAGCTCTTGGACATTACAAAACCGCTTTCTACGCTTTGCGTGGGCACTTATATCAAAAAAAGAACAAGTTCAACGCATGGCTGGAGGTGTGGAGTTTCATTGTTGGCGTCGCAAGTGTCAGACTCAGAAGATCCATCTATGCCAGTTTCAGCCCCCGAACTGGTTTGATTACACGTGCTCAGACAACTCAGCATCCGAAACGCTGCTTCAATGACCTGCACTGCATCACCGTTCCCCTGTGCGAACCACGGAACGTCTCTGCCAGGGATTGGTCCCACACACCCAAACCCTATACCCTAACCCTAAACCCTGAACCCTGAACCCTGAACCCTAAACCCTAAACCCTAAACCCTAAACCCTCAACAGCGCCTCATCGGTCATCAACTCCCAGCAGTGTAGCTGCACAAGGCGCTTGCGCAGCTCCTGGAAAGGCCCTTTCTACTGTGTGTTTAAGAACCCCAAGAATAAACCCTTTTAGCGTTTAGGGTTTAGGGTTTGGGGTTTGGGGTTTAGGGTTTAGGGTTTACGGCTTCTGTTCCACCCGTTTCGAATGTTTTTTTTGCGGGGAAAGGTCAGGCTGTACTATAGCCAAAGTTCAGAGTTCGAATAATGTTTCTTAGGGCTTAGGGTTCCGGGTTCTTTTTTTGCTCAAGAACCTCAAAACAAAATCTTCCTCATGAGGGTCATGTTTTGGGGGAAGGGGGACTACTGAAGAACCCCCCAAAAAAGTCTGTTCCTTCTCAGGGCGATACAGGGATTTTATTATAAAATCCTTGGGGCTCGTAAGCATACAGTAGCCAAGCACCGACTGTACGGGCTTCGGCAGCACAATCAGTCTTACGGGTTATGTCAATGTATGTTCAGGTCAAGGCTTTTGGGACTTAGGCCGGTTTAGGGCTTCCGCCACGCGGAGATGCCTTTCCTTGTCGAGCCGAGGCAACCTCTTTGCTCCACTCGCTGCAACTTAGGTAGCTTAGCTGTCCGGGAACTTCAATCACCCAAAGCTTCGGTTTTGCTGCCCAAATCATGGTGTCGGTTTGTCATTTTATGTCACGTGACAGCTCATCTGAACCATTGCGCCAGCACGTCGGCAAAGTCAAACTGTAACGACACCCATTGAGGTCTCGTGGCCAGAACGGCTTGAGTAAAAACGGACAGATACTCTCAAGCGGCGAGCACTCTACAAACAACGAATACCCAAAAAGGAGACCCGAATTTGGAACAACCGCCGCCCCTCGTGCATCGAGCCCAGACCCCAAACTCCCCTCCCCACGCACAAAACTGAAGAAAGAATGCCTTTGAGGTCCTTCTGTCACTCATGTCATTTTTTGGGGCGGGAAGGGGGAGTGACCCAATAGGGGGAGGGGATTACAGGAAAACCCCTGGTACCCTAAACCCTAAACCCGAAACACTAAACCCTAAATCCTAAACCCTAAACCCTAAACCCGAAACCCCTCACCCTAACCCCTAAATGGCAAACCAACCCTGGTACCGAGCTCCTCGGGCTTGGATGCCCCCTGCGTGTTGATCCGTTGCATCTTGGCTTCCTGCCTTGGTTGGACTTTCCAGTGCGCTTTTTTGGGGTTTCGGGTTCAGGGGTTTAGGGTTTCGGGTTTAGGGTTTCGGGTTTGGGGTTTCGGGTTTAGGGTTTCGGGTTAGGGTTGCAAGGACCTTGTCGAAAGTCACATAAAAACAACTGCTTTGCTGCTCAGAGAATGCTAACGTTGAACTTTGAGACTGCCGATGGCCGGCACACCGCGCATTCGGATTGATTTAAGGTGCTCTTACATATGAGGTTAGGCTAAACCCTAAACCCTAAACCCTAAACCCTAAACCCTAAACCCTCAACGCCTCAACGCAAGTCCCAAGCCATCGCCTTGCCCAACCCCCCCCCCCCTCGTATTCCAGTGAATGGAATGTATTGCGCAAAATAAAGCACAAAACATGCCATGAGTAACCTATGGTCCATAGCTATGCAACATGAATTCCTGTGTATACATTGTGCATATATATATATATATATAGTCTATTGGTCTGTATTCTAGATATACATGCAGTATATATAACCCTATAGACTGCACTGCATGCTATAACTTTGCCATACTGTGCTCTATGAGGTATATGCTTATATGCTTCTTTCGGCTTTTTCTTGTTGCAGTCTGGCTGCACCAGCTGCTGCATGGATAGGCAGCTGAGTTGCTGCCAGCGGTTTTTCAATTCTTTCCTTTGCGCCGTGCATGCTGACATTTGGGGGGGGGGGGGGGCCTAAGAGGGCAAGACTCGGGTGTCTAGGGCTTGTATAGGGGTTGGTTTAGGGCTTAGCGGCTTCGCGTGGTTGGGAGAGAAGGCCCAGAAGACATGGGGATAGAGACTGGCAGGATCCCTGAACCGTAAGCCCGGAGTGGCGGATGTTCCAGGGTTCAGGGTATAGGGTTTGGGGTTAAGGGTATGTGCCGCTCAGCTGCAACTGATCTTCAGTCGAGCACCAATCCTTATTGCATGGCGCCGGGCATCAAACGCGCCAA